AAGTCCTCGCCTTTGCTTTGAAATGCAAATTCATCGAACATGCAAATACCCACCCTGGGCATTGGTGCAGTGGGCAAAGCAAAGACACGCTTGGCACAAAATGCTCATACTGAAGTTTTTCTTGGGCTCCTGGGGGATTCAGCAGCAGAGATCCCCAAAAAGGTTGAGGGTTCAAAGAAAATGGACATCATATGCTCATCCTCCTGACTCCAAGGACAGGCACATGGCCAGAAGCCCAAGGATGCTGTCTGACTACAGTCGCAGAGGCTCACAAAATTAGAAGCAGGAGGCCTGTAAGTCTGGTTCAGTGGGATGCAGAGGCAGGGACCAGTGGGATGAGTGAAGCAGGCCTGGGAGAGTTCAACAGGGAACACGGTGGGCTGTAACTAAAGGAAGCCTAACTCAGCTCTAGCCAGTCGGTGCTTTGTGGGTATCTGGGAATCTGCTTTGTGACTCCAATCAAAATAAGCCGGAAACCCATATTTTATGTATGATTTTAAAATATTGGCAACAAATTCCATTTAAAAATGAAAAACTCTGGGAAATGCAGAACTTGTCTGTGGGATGGGTGTTGCCTGCAATGTGCCATTTTGAGACTTCTACGAGAGACGATTCATTAGAAGCCAGAGATCAATCCAGGTCCTCATGCCAATACATTGTGCTGTTTCTCTTCCCTTCTTCTCTTAAAATGAGTGCACGAGGATGGAGTGTGGGACAGAAAAACAATCGGGGGTTACTTCAGGAGTCAACTCAGTGATGGGTGTGCCCCTCCAGCCAGCACACACAGGAAGCAGTGACCTCAGGAGGGTCCTGGTGGGATCCAAAGGAAGATGAGTGAAGTGTTTAACCCTGACTTAGGACCTGATGGGACATGGTCTTTTGTACTCCATACTCACAGTGTGGACAGCAGCTTTGCCTGTCTGACTGCTTCTGGCATGTCCCTCCCCTGTATCTACTATGTTCCAAGCATGACAGCCTTCAACAACTCCCTCAGACCCCCCCAAAGTCAGCTCAGCACCACTGTTTAGCTTTGCCCTCCAATCTTTCTCCTGCCTTGGAAACCTCGTCACCCTCGCCCCCACGTGCTCTCTTCTGACTTTTTGGTGTCAGCTTCCAAGTTTTCAGCTGAGACAACTTTACTCTGACCATTGTGGCTAACACAGGTCTCCACACCCATTCAAACGATTTTATGTTCTTCAAATCAGTTTCGCCCATTTGATTTTATTCATTTACTACTACCGATGGTAGCTATCATTACTGATTTACGTAATCATTTACATAATTATTGCCCACTAGAATGAAAGTTCCAACAACATGAGGGCAGGGTCTTCCTCTTTCTTCTCCACTGCTAAATCCCCAGCATCCAAATAGTGCCTGGCATTTAGTTAAGTGCTCAGTGAAGGCAATGATCAATAATAATAAATACAATATTGAGCCTGTCATGTGTGAAGTGCTGCACTAATCACTTTACAGCCTTAACTCACTTATTTATCTCGACAATTCTATGAGGTAAGTGCTATTACTATCCCAATTTTAAAGATGATAAAACTGAGGCACAGAGAGATTAAGTTTACACCGCCAGTAAATGCTGGTGCTGGGATCGGCATCCGGGCAGTTTGGCTCTTGGTTCATGACTTTTCTGCCTAGGGAGGGGCCAGGTAGAACTCAAATTGGGGCTGTGGGTGGGGCGAGGGCTGTCTGTGGAAAAGAAGTCTGAACACTTGAGTGCCAGTTTCAGCTCTAAATGCAGAGACGCTTCCTTTCATCTTTTCCATGTGTGTGTGAGCAGCAAGCTGGTACCACTCTGAAAAATGCATAGCCTAGTTGTGAGCCTCTTCCTAGAGGCACATTCCCACAAGCATAATTATTCCTTCTGATCATGTGTTTCTGCTGTTGATTAGCAGGAGAAAGCCACGAGGCCATGTCTGCAACATCCCTATCTGTTCAGGGATGCTTGTGACAAATCAAAACACTATTCTTTTAACAAATGAGGCAGTAAGCAGCAGGAGTTGAGTTATGAAGGACAATATTCAGGGGATGTTTAGACACACGACTAAGTGGCAATTTGGGGGCTAGAAAAAGGAGATCATGGACATCTGAGGAGGTGAGTGTATGCGAACATCGTGGCGTTGCTTGTAAGCGAATGCCTGGGATGGAAGCTTACCTCTGGTTCCCGATGCTTGGAGTCTCAATTTCTCAATTTACATTCCTGCCAATCTTTTCAATTCCTTCTAGTTACTGCCTTGGTTCCTGACTAATCTCCTGGTTTTTCATAAATTAGGGTTGGGGTGGAATGCAAAGAAATCATTGGTAACATTTTTGTCAGAAGGCCTGATTCGCCTGGGTCTGCTGAGCCCGACCCAATGCAAGACGTCACAGTGGAACTTGTTCATCCCAGACAAGGAAAACCAGGCCTGGAACCATCGGATAGGTGTTTTGACTAATGATCTGAAAAGTCACTGTCAGTGAATCAGTTAAATACATCTTGCTTCAGGTTTATTCACATTATTGTCCGAAAGATCAGACACTGTGGCTGAAGTGCCTTGCACAGTTCTGGGCCCTCAATAAATGAAGCCGATGGTGAGTGCAATGACTGTTACTAGATTCCTGATACTCTTCTTTCCCAGGCTGGAATTCAGAAGGAATGCTTCGGCAGACCGGTCGCATCCACACGCGTCCATAGGTGTCTTAGCTCCTCTCTCCAAGACACTTCAGTTTGCATTTCAAAGGAGATTAGAGATGGCTTCTTAAAAATTTCAAACCAACCCACTTTGATTTCTCATCTGAGTTTCCAAGAACTGACTCACTGGTAGTGCTATAGACGGACAGAGGTGCCGCTCAGATCCAGAGGGGCCACCTACTCCCACCCCGTGGCCACCCAGTGCCCCTTCGGTTGTGTAGGGGTGAAGTTCTTTGCTGCTTAAAATCCATTTTATGGGCTTACTGGTATGAGAGGCTGGCTTCACGGGCATGTGGCCTGTGCGGTCACCCATGGTGCATGCTCAGAAGGGCCCCTCACTTGGCTGAAAGCTCTGCAGTCAACATTTTGAAGTTCTTAATAACGTACGAAAAAGTGGCCTTGCTAATTATATAGCTGCCTGGAATATCCTGCATGTCTGATATGTAGAAACATAAATAATTGTATAAGTTTGGATTTTATAAAATGTTAATAGAGTATTCTGGGGTTCTTGAACAAAAAAGCTACTGTACCCAGTTTAACCATCTTCTAGTGAGACCAGTCTCCCGTAATCTCTCTAATTAGGATCAGAAGTAAAATGAAATTTCTAAAGAGATGAATTACAGAAATCCATTGGAAACTGAAGACCAGTACAGACAATTTGGCACTGTCTGAGCACATCCCGTAGCTTTCATCATTCCTTCTGGCTTGCTTAAGGAGTTTGAACAAACTGAGCCCAACATCACTAGCAGGTAGAGAGGTTAGGCCCAGAACCATCAGGCCATCAGAAAGAAATCACAAGTCCTTGGAAACCGAGAGCGCCTTCTCTAGTGACCTTTTTCTCTCCTTCTTGGCTTTGGAAAGCAAAGGTCTGGCATGACGCCTAGTCAACCTTAATTCAGATGAATATTGCTTCATAATTATTTTTAAATCTATAATTCTAATTTTTTTAAAATAAGATATGCTTGCAGTTGGACCACATTCAGGAATATAGAATAACCTAAATTAGTCTTAAAAAGCTTTATGTTTTTTCTTTCCTCAAATAGAGGTTCTTCTGGGATTAGCTTTAATGAATAGCGAAGAATAATGCATAATTAGCATATCAGTTGTTTAACACATTCAGGAGAATAGCCTTCTTAAGCACTTTAAGAAATGTATGTGTATAAAAACTCTCAGAGCTATGTTTACGGTTTTAATGTGTTCAGTAAAACTCCTTTTCATGGATTCCTCAAAGGTCAGTTTTTATCCAGCTTATGTCTGTATTTTCATAAATTGTGAATTTGAGAATTCCAAAATAAAGAGGCTTTTCTCTATAATAAATAAAGACACTCAGTGGGAACACTTCACAATCCCCTCTTGTAACCCATTCTAGTGTCTGCTTTTGCCTTTTGCAATTCAAGAGAGCTCCATGAACTGGGGGCCTACTTTTTAATGTTACTTGTTTTGGGTCTCAAAAGTGAAAAAACAATGCCTTGATTGTTTGGTGCATATCAAGTTATAAAAGAAACCAGTGATGCTTTTGACCCCTCAGACAGCCCACCCTCCTCCCTTTGCTGCTACTTCATTCCTGCCCAGCAGCAGGAAACTGGCCATGCCTGACCCTCATGCAGGGTCCTCTCCCAGGCCTTACATTTCAGGGACGAGCAGTGACCTAGGAGTCACCCTTGACACTTTGTCCTCTTCCATATTCTGCTCATATTCAATCTATCCCCAAGCCCTATCAATCTTCCTGACCAACACCACCCGGACGCACCCCACTCCCTCTAGCCCTGCCAGCTCTATCCTTATCCGAACCTTGACAGCCCCATATTCAGATTTCCTGCCGCCACCTTGCCTCCTGAGCCGTCCTCCACACACCCGCCAAGACAATCCTCTTAAAACATAAACCGGATCACACGACTCGCCAGCTTAAAACCATCCTTCAATGCCTCCTCATTGACCTTAAGAAAAAAACCAAAGCCATGACAGTGGGTTTCTTGGTCTTATAGGTCCAACCTTGCCTCATACGCTCCTCTTCCTTTCTCACTGCGGCCCAGCTACAAAGGCTTTCTTTGGCCTCCTTAAATTGCCAGTTTCCTTCACCACCAGGCCTTTGCATTTTCTTTCCTTCTTTGAGGGGGATATTCTTCCCCACAAAATCTCCCCTCTTCCTGATCTTCCTCATACTTTCAAGAATTCATAAGCAAACATTTATTTGTACAACAGTTTGGTATCCCCTTCTAGATTGCAAGCTTTGTGTGGTCATGCTGTCCCCAGCTCCAGTCCTGCGCCTTTGATGTTGGAGGTCGGAGGTGCCCTACTCCCATATCCCGCACCCACTCACCGCGCTCATGAGCGAGTCCAGGACACTGACTGCAAATGCTGTCCCACATGCAAATGGCTGCGTGAGGTACAGTTCTGTGTCGGGGTCATCATCATCGTCTTGGTCCAAAAACTGAACATTAGTATCATTCACTAGAAAAAGTATAAAATGAGAATTAGCTCAAAAGACCACACACACGCAGCGAAGCCAGAGAAAGAGCACGTTACTGATTTAGCAACACTGAAGTCACTGAAAAGGAGAGAAAAGCATGGGAGAAGCTGTGGATGAATCTTGGGGTGGGAGCCAGTGGACTCAATGGACTGCTCTTATGTGATTGTTCAAGCTTCCCAGACCTGGAGAGCAATGAGTTCAAGCAGCCTTGCTCCATGGCAGACCACTGGAGAATGGCTGGACAGTGCTGGTCAGTCCTTTGGTATAGTTTTAGAATCATGACCGAAAAACACTTCAGGGTATTTTTCGGTTGCCAAGTCCTTTGAGAGATGGACATATTTCAAGGATGAGTAGCCATGAGTAGCCATGCTGGGATGCTAAGTTTAGCCACAGGAAAAGAAAGCAACTTATCGAGACCGGAGAGCAGGAGACTAGGAGCACAGCAAAGGCGCATAGCAAGGAATTCACCTGTAGGCAGGACCTACATCCTCCCTGGGGTCAGCCCGGGTAGGGTCTGGTGTCCCTAGCCCTGAATCCAGGACCACCCCGACAAGGCCCTGTTTGATAGAACAGTGACCCCAGGTGGGATGGATCCCTGGCTGTCTCCGGCTGCTTGCTGACAAGTACTTGCTGTGCATTCCGAGTTGCATGGGGACGCCCACGTTCTCCCTTTCCCCTTCTACACAGCTCAATCTTTTATGTGCTGCAGCTCCATGAGATGCTGTAGTTCATTTCCATCTGAGGATTCCTCAAGGACTCCTCCGGCAGGCAGGTGCAGACTGATTGGCTGTGTCACTGAGATGTCTTTAACTTATTAAAAATTAAATGACAAATTAATTTCCATTCCCATCTTGGCTTCAGAAATTATCAGTTTTGCAGAGCAAGTAATAGGGAAGAAAGTGTGTGGTGGGGGAGGAGATGAGCGCTCGTGATTTCTGGAATAATTATGGTGCTTTTAGGAAAAGAATAGATGAGGTTTCCTTTTTCTGATTCCTTTCTAAATGTATTGGTAATGAATTCTCTTTCCTAGAGTTATTGTTTTAATTTTTTTTCCTAAGCGTAACATTCTGGATAACTTTTTCTTTCAACTTTTGCTTGTTTATTGTGTAAGGCAGAATAAATAATAGGATAAAAAGCTAGGCATGGAATTAGTTTTAAATGACACCATCTTGTTTCCCTAGAGAAAAATTTTAATGGAGGAACATCTTTGCTCAGTAACACTTGAATTACAGGCTAGTGGGTAAAAGTACAAAATGCAGGATCGGACAAGTAAGCTTTGAATCCGGGCTCTGTACAAACTCTGTATAAGCCTGCGGCTTCATCATTCTGCACCTTACTTTCTCTCTGTATAAAATGGGAGAGTTACTAGCAGCTCTCATGAGATTGTCAGGAGGTTCCTAGGAGGTTGTGCTTGGTGAGCCTGGCCCAGGACCTTGACAAATATTAGCTGCTCTCGGGATTGCCTGTCTGATTAAATATTCTGTCTACCCTACTACATTATGAAAATTTCCAGCTTCCCTCCGCCTCTCTCAGAAGCAAGTAAGGCTTTGCTCAGGGATCCTACACCGTCAAATGGGAGGGAGCTTTTCCTCTCCTTCCTCCATTTACCCAAAAGCACATTGGAGGCCACAGTTTTGGCTTCCTGCTTTGTGAATCAGAAAATGTGAACTCTGGACAGTAATGCAGAGGAGCATGGTTTTAATTACTTAGAACAACCAAGGATGGTGTGTGCATTGACACTCCAAAAGGGGTAGCATCTGTTATCTCTTTTCAAGACCATGGGGAAGGGCTGGTAGTGGACTTGGAGGGCAAGTGGCCACAGGTAGGGAGAGATGGCTAGATCGCCAGCGAGCCAGGCATTTCAGTCAATGGGAAAGAGCTAAGGCAGGAACCACGGTTCTGTGAAAATCCTGTGTCTTGTTCTGGGAGAGTCTCACAGGGAGAGCAGACAGTGTTACCCAAAGCCTATTTCACAGAACAGTAATTATATGGTGCTAACATGTGATTTTTAACCCCTCCCCCAGTGTTTTAGGTCATAGATGACTAGAAACCAGGTTAAGTAGCCTTAAACAAATGTCCTTCTTGTGGAACTTCTAGAAGCTTTTTACCCACTACCATCAATTGAAACTCTCCAAGTGGATGAAGACAGGAATATACTACACAGCTTTAAAAGAACCTGGTATCCTTTGTGCTTTTTAGAAGGCATTTTACTGGTTTGGCATTATGCAGAACACATCTCAGAACATGCAGGTAAACAGTAAATATTTGTGGGGATGCGGGGAAGCGAAGTGGTCAGACGATGATGGTATGTTTGCCAAAGGTGGTATGACCACCAGGAAAATAGGGCTTAACACAGAAGGTAAGGGTGATGTGAACACATGGAAGGTTCTCTGAGCTCACAGAAGAAATCTGGTGAGGGAAGAAGGCTTTGGGAAATTCAGTTATGCTAACTGAATGTCTGCCTCATTGCCTCAGATTTGGGGCACCAAGCCTTCTCTTTCCTCTTCTCCTAATCACAAATTGAGATATCCTAGTTAGTTGGTAGCATACAAACTCCAAACAGAAAAAGAAATTCCTGGCAGTAATGATTTTGAAATGCCGCTGAAGGTTTCTGAGATGGAGATATTTGGATGAATTTTCCAACCAGCGGTCTGGGCTGCATGAGCTTCCTGGGCCTCTTACAACTCTAAGGTCCTGAGAAGAGCAATCCAGAAACCTAGGCTTTTAGCCAACTTCTCTAAACATGAAAAAGACACCTCTCCTACTGTTGGAAACAGAAAATAGTGCGATACTCCTTGACCTGAGTGAATTTGTCCTGATAAATAGCTACGTCTACAATAATGCAGTGATGAATGGTGGACAATTTATTCCTTAGTTTCCAGACACCTCACAAGCAAGATTACTGTGTTAAAAGCCTGCTCTCTTATTTCGAAATATATTTTGGGGCCAAGAGAATGGCATGTTCGTTTCATTTGTGAGTCATTCGAAGGCAGGTGCTCCCCACCTCTCTATCCACCCCTCTGCAGAGCAGTACTTTTGCTGTCTCTATTTAGAAGATCAATCCCCAGTTCTGAGACCTGCTGCTGATGGGTGCCTTTTACAGAGTTATTAACCAAGTCCCGGGGAAGTGTGAAGGGCCTGACAAATGTAGTCATGACCAGAACCCTTCATCTTCCTGGTGAGTCCACTCTGAATCTCCGGGAGGCTCTGGGCCAGCCGGGTGGGGGTCAGAGCGCAGACCTGTGGCTCAGTGGCTGCTAACCTCATCCTCGGCACCCTTCTTGAAATCTGGCTTTCATAAGAAAAAGGTCCCCTAGGAGCTGGCTGCTTTTATGGCCTCAGAACCAGAGCTTCTGAGAAAAGGTCTCGTAGGGGGGAAAAAAAAAAGGCAAATAAAGTCAGAATAAAGGAAAATAAACAGCTAGAGGGAAGGCTCCGTCTTAGGTTTCTTATCTTAAAATTTTTATATTTCTCCTTTGACTGCTCTGAGAGCTGTGAAGACATGTCAGTCAAACTGACAGCGTGTTGGAAGAGGAATATAAGGGAGAAGGCGGGAGAGCAGGGGATACATGGAAAGGGGGGGGGAGGCCCAGGCCAAAGAAAATGAATTAGAGCAAAGATGCTTTAGAAGCAACTGCCAGGTCAGATGGGTGTGATCAAAGGTTTACTGATGCTGTGTGGGGGAAAAAATCATTAAGAAAGGCCAGAACAAGACAGTCGATTCCAACCAGAGCCACAAATAAAACACATTCAAAGCAGTGCCATGGGGTAGTCTCTCTGTTACAGCCCATGAAATAAAAAACAAGCCGATGATAGTTGGAAACACCAACAACAGAACAAAAGGAGATACCGATGTGAAGGAAAACAGTGCTTCTTACCCAGTTCAGTTATCATTAGAATGTGCGTCCCACTGTTTTTTTCCTGATTGACTGATACCAAAGGCAACTTGCCAGGTTTAGCTAATTGGATACAGCATTTAAGGGTTGGGGAAAGGGAGTGGAGGAAAGTACAGAAAAAGAAGAGCATGAGGGAATAACAGAGGACACATTGTAACGTAAGGGGACCCATCACCGTAGGTGGTTAGTATTGTCTTGGGGGAAAGAGACCACTCAGCAGCTTTGCAAATTCACAGATGGTAGGAGGGAATGCCATGGCTGGGTTAAAAGTTGGGTTCCACTGGCCTGTGATCATGGCCGTCCAAACCCCATCTTATTTTAGGCCAGAGCAGCATTAGCTGAGAAGTTCAACGAGAATAGATTAAATGCCCACTGCCTCCACCCAGTTCTCAGAATGGGTTTGGCTTAGACCTGTGGCTTTGTACCTCAGTGGAGGGCTCTGATTGCAGGAGCTGTCTGGAGGTGCTTCCAAGGAAAATCACCAGGAAGAGTTCATGGATTATGCCTTTCCTCCTTTCCTCCCCCTTCCCTAATTTATGCCCCAATCTCAAATCCATCATCTCAGACTCCATTGAGAACAGAGACCAGCGTGAAGGAAACTGTCTATTCATCTCAGAGGAAAGATAGATCAGTTTTCCTTTTGGTAATCTGTCATATTGCTACCCATACCTCTCTTCACCGCCCCCCCCCACTAGAGCCCTCTATGCTGAAGGAGTTAAGAAACAGGCTACCCTCGTATCCTACATGGCTAGAAGAGAGGACAACAAAATCTGCCCAAAGCTGACATTCACCCCTACCTAGTTCAGTAATGATGGGGATGTTGACCCCAGTCGTGATGGATGGCTGGCGTAACATCCCGTGCACTGGGCTGTTATCTGGAGAGGATCTGTCCATTCCTGGAGGTGTGAACCCTAGTGGAAAAGAAAGAGAGAAGGGAGATAAGTCAGAGACATGGAAAGCTTGGGAATAATATGAGTATAAGATACATACTTAATTTAAAAAAAAGTAGTTTATGCATTATTTGCAGGTCAACAATTAGCACTCTCAGGATAAACTCGGATGTGTTGCTTTGGTGAAGGACAAAGTAGGAGGCCATTATCAATAATTCTAACCTGCCTTGATAGCTCCTTAAAAATGAGTCTCTACATCAATTACTGCTCTTGCTCACAGATTTTTGTTCCAGGCAGACAAGAAGATTGTACCTCTGTGCCTCCATGTGACAGGAAATGCTCTAGGCCATGAAAAGTGAACAGAACAATGTATACCATTGCTTCTGGTACAAAGATTTGATTTTCTGCCTCCCTTCCCAGACTGTGGCAACCATGGGAACATGGGTTACTATAGAGAGGAAGGCTGGGCAGCAGCCCTGGACAGTAACCCAGACCGCAAAGCATTCTGAGTGAGTGAAGAGGTGATCTCTGTTGCTTGAAGACACTGGGGATCGTGGTGTTGTTACCACGGCATAACCTAACCTATCCTGACTGATTACTTATTCTCTTGCCAGTGAGTGACTCAAGCCGGGGTTTTTGACAGATTCTTGTCAAAGGGAAGTGGGAGGAAATCTGCTTGGGGACTTTTAGGAAGGGTTTCCTTGCCTTAAAATAATCACACAGGAAGAGATTGTCTTTTAATTCACTGGACATTGCTCTCGTACCTGTAGTGCCTGGAATTGTGGCAGCCATCTTGCAACTAGGATGGGCACCAGCTGAAGACAAAGCCAGCTTAAGGAGATTGGCTGAACAAATGATGGAAAGATTTAACAACAGAAAGAACTATCCTTGAGAGAGCACCTGGGTGGCTCAGTCAGTTGAGTGTCAGCTCAGTTTTCGGCTCAGGTCATGATCTCAGGGTCTTGGAATTGAGCCCTGCATTGGTCTCTGTGCTGGGCATGGAGCCTGCTTGGGATTCTCTCTCTCTCCCTCTGCCCCTCCCCTACTCTCTCTCTCTATCAAAATAAATAAATAAATAAATAAATAAATAAATAAATAAATAAATAAATAAAATAGAAAGAACGATCCTTGAGTTACTGAATTAGCTAGCCTTAGAGCCAAAACCAACTGACCTCAGGATTTCTTACTACATAGGACTTTATATACAGTATATACAAATGAGATTATAATATACACTATGATAGTGAGATTGTCTATATTTTATATATATAATAATTACATATGTATATGTACATATACATATATATTTTCTTATGGTAAAAAATCCTGAGGTAGGATAGTTTGGTTTTGTACACACACACACACACACACACACACACACACACACACACACACTATATGTACACACACACACACACACACAATTTTATAAATATGTAGTTGATTCTTCCACAACAGAGGTTTGAGCTGTGTGGGTCCACTTATATGCGAATTCTTCTTGATAGATATAATGCAGTCCTGTAAATGTAATTTCCTTATGACTTTCTAAATAACATTTTCTTCTCTCTAGCTTACTTCATTGAAAGACTATGGTATATAATACACACAACATACCAAAAGTAGTTTCCTCGACACTTTATGTTTATCAGTAGGGCTCCAGTCACCAGGACGCTATTAACAGTTAGGTTTGGGGGACTCAAGAGTTATACATGTATTTTCAACTGTGCAGGGGGCTGGCACCCCTCAACTCCCCCATTGTTCACGGGTCAACTGTATATATTTTTCTTTTTGTGTAAGACCAAATGAAGAATTTTCTTCTCATTTGAAAAAGAAGTCCTCCTGACTACTGCAGATGCCCCTGGCTTGTCGCAGGTCCCGGAACTCCCCAGCATGCCAAACACGGACCTCATACGGTAAACGCGGGCACAGGCAATTGGAAAGTAGCCTACTTGGTTTCTGATCTTAGCTGTTTGAGCTTCTTAGACCCAAATCCCAAGCACATATTAGAATGAGTTTGGCCCAACCACAACTTCACGGCTGAACAGCTGCCTCTTTAAGGATGAGCATAGAGACCCACAAACATGAGACATTTATTTACCTCATATATTCATTTGGCGAAAATTAATTTTATCAAGTGACGCACCTGGCAAGTGCTACCATCAACTGTGCTGGCTGCAAGACCCAATTTGCTCCTGACCTTAGCACACAGGCAGACAGATGTTCACATTCACTTTGGTTTCCCTTCTTTGTCCTTGGGGGATTGGCTACGTGGGCTTATCAGTGAATTAAGGACTTGCAGATACAAAGTCACTTGCTAAGTTTCCAAGGACGAAATTCCAAACAGACCCATGTGGTCAGATCCCTGACCTAGCCTCCAGTAATGTGGCAATGTTAGATTGATTCTGCTTTATAGTACGTGTGAAGCTCCATCTATCAGGAATGAAATGACAGGTGCTCAATAATTGCCTGTTGTTTTCGAGGTGCATTATGCATGAAATGCCAGCAAAATATAAAAGGGTCTTCCTATTTTCTGCTCTCCTGTGTATAAATTTCATACTATTGAACGCCATACTTTCAGAAAGAAAAGGAAAGTTTTATTTACTGTTCATTCTCTGATTGCCATTAATTTTATTCTTTGTGTTGATATGCTGTGCACAGGGTAAGTAATGTCGAGTGACAGTATAATGTCCATCTTTCTAAACTTTGGAATGTGCATTTTTCAGCCAACCACATAACCAAGAACATGCATTTTAAATGCTAGCTGTTTTCTTCCCCAGAATAGCGAAGGGGAAAACTAAACTGTTTTCATCAGAAGTTTCATTCAAAAGCATGAAAAACTACAAGTGACAGCTGTGCAGCCTCGGTGGCTGTGACGTTTTTGAATTTCTTCAACTTGACAAGTAAACACCTTAAATCGGTAATGCTATATGCATAATACATGGCCTGTATTTTGACATCCATCATCAAATGCTGACTTGAGAAAATACGGGTTTGTACGTCAAGGAATAGCACCCATAAAACAGGGAGAAATGCAGGTCACACGGTATTAGGAAAACTGTATTTCATTACAGAACCTGCAACAAGCCACAGCATCCTTTTATTTTATCTTATTTAAAGATTCCATTTTCAGCTGTGAAAAGACTCAACTCCTTTGCATGAAACCTTCATTTAGAAATGACATGCTTGCCTCATAGGCCTATTTCATTTTGCTTTCATATTCCATTTTCCCCTCCAGTCGCCAAGCCTGGTTCCATTAGCATCTGCAACTGACAAACTACGGTGGGTGTCCAAAGACATCTCTCCATTAAAAGTCGCTTCTCTCTCCTATGCATGACCCCAAGAAGAGGGTGCTTTTGTTGGCAAGAGAACTTCAGCAATGATAATGTCTCTTTCTCTTTTGCTACTTTTCTAGCTACAAACTGTTCAAAGCAAAAGGCAGAGACAAAAGAAGTAGATTTCATCTTTTTTTTTCCTCCCCTTCCTATAGAGTTTTGTTAAAGATGAACAGAATTCATTAACATTGTTTTCTTAGAGGTCCTAATATGGGAAAACCTGTGGTTTGAAACGACAGGGCTGACCCAGATTCCCTAAATGGCCTTGGAGAGAAGAGAAATGCAGGCGCCTTCCTTCAGAAGAGACGAGGTGCTCTGGCCCTTGATGGCATCGACCCTATTCGTCATAGCTGCAGTTGATAAAGGGGCAGCTCTAAATTGTGTCCAGGTTTCCCAACTGTCTTGCTCCCCACCCCATCATTGTTTGCTGCAGTGGATACATCTTTGGTTGAACTTTAAGTCTCTCTACGTAAAACAGCACTCTAGTTCCGCACGTGAGAGCACAGTCACATGAAATATACTCCAGGGATCATAATCTACAACTGGAGAATGGTGAAACTGGCAAACTCTCCTTTCATTAGTTAAACTTAACACTGGAGAAATTAATTTTAGAAAACAAGCACTTATTTTGCCAGGAGAGAGGACTAAGAATGTTGGCATCTGAGAGATAGGATGAGAAATTCTTAATCAGGAAAAGATTCAAGTTCACTCTTACCAAATTGGTCTCCTGATTCTTTACATGTGTCCCTGTTCTCTCTGTTGAGCATGGCCATAGGAGGCAAGTCTGGAGCTAAAAATGACTTCCAAAGATTACCTGATCTCATTAAATTGAAGGGCCCTCCCCATTCCAATCCTCAGGGGCAGATGTGAGGGGCTTATGTTACCTTTCCATTGTTTTGGCATTAGGCATAAACGGTCCCAATATTGCCCCCCTCCTAAGCATGCTCACTCCACATGCGTTAAAGCTGGACTAACCCACTTTAGGCCACGAACTTTAGGCCAGAGACTGAGTTTTGTTTTTTTAAACTTCCTAGATTGTCTTTAGAATGCCTGCCCATAGAGAAGAAATGGAGTAGAGAGTTAAAATATGAACTTTGAAGTCAGATGTCTTGGGTTCTAATTCTGATTCATTTACTTAAAAGCTATATAACTATGAGCACAGCTCTGACTCTCTGTAAGCCTCTGTTACTTTGTCTATAAGATGGAAGTATTTCATACATAGGGCAATTGTAAGGATAAAATGAAACCATGTATTCAAAACATTTAGTATAATGTCTGGTATAAAGCAAGTACTCAAAAATTTGACTACTGATGATAATACTTCACTAGGTACACAATTATTTGTGGATAGGCATAGCATCCATCACCACTTCTTCCCTATGGATAAAGAATTGAGGAAGCCTTTGGCATATTTTTTTAAAAAGAATTTTCATGTAGAGTAAACCCTAGAAAATTAATGGTAAGGCAATGAGCACTACAAATCCATTTTGGTAGGAATAATCAGATCACTTCAGTGATAAAAATGAACTTCAAAATATCTAAGGAACAAAGATTTTTGCATAGGAAGATGGTCAGGATTTTCCTTAGGTACACGAAAACTGGGGCCAGTTGTTAAGAAAGACTAAGAAAGTCTCTTAATTCCTTATAGCAACTGCAGAATCTCTCTGGAGCCTTCTTTTTTCAGACCTG